TACCTCAGACCCCAGGGTTAGCACCCACGTTATGCTGGTGAGTCCCCATGTCTCTCCATGCTTTCCCACCACACATCCTAGTCCAACTCACCCAGGAAATCCCAAATGAAGACATTTTTGAAGAGACGGGGCGATTTAAATCCATGCTGGAAAGCCTGTTCCAGAGCCGAGACAAGGCCACACTCTCCACAAAGCAACAGCGTCAGACTGCCTCTCTAGTAAGGAAACGGGAGAGTGACAGGCTTGCCTCAAGCTGCCCTCCCACCACTGCATCCCCAAATCCACAACCCACAGCTAAGAGGGCAGCAAAAGACAGGCAGGGACCTTGTCTGTTCCCCTAGCACCTGGCACAGTGCCTGGCTCAGAACAGCTCTCAGTGAATAGCTATTGAGTAAATGAATAAATGAATAGATGATGAATGTGGGTTCCCACCAGGGGACAAAGCCAATGTGGCCATTATTCAGGGAGATGGGCAAATCCTGAAGAAAATAGGAATACACACTGTTCACTAGAGGCCCCAGGACTCTGTTGGGCCATTAGTGTGTAAGGAAAACAGGGTAACCCAAGCAGAGATCCCCAGAGGAAAAAATCTGCTCAGTCTCAAACTGAGGCATACACTCTACACTCCAGGCCAGGGGTGGGCAAACTTTTTGACTCGAGGGCCACAATGGGTTCTTAAACTGGACCGGAGGGCCGGAACAAAAGCATGGATGGAGTGTTTGTGTGAACTAATATAAATTCAAAGTAAACATCATTACATAAAAGGGTACGGTCTTTTTTTTTTTAGTTTTATTCATTTCAAACGGGCCGGATCCGGCCCGCGGGCCGTAGTTTGCCCACGGCTGCTCCAGGCTGTCCAAGCACATGGGCCAAGAACAGTATTATTCTCTCTCACTCAATGTAAGGCCCTGGGCTGGAGGACAGGAAGGCTTACCTCTTTCTCAGGCTTATGGAAGTGCTTCACGATGCCATTGACTGCCTCCCCAATGGACTCCTGGATCTGCCCAGTGTTCAGCTCTGATAAAAATCAAGCAGACACCCCTTAGCAATCTCAGAGGCTAACAGTGCTTAGCTGCCTGAGCAGGAAACTGAGGACACTGTGAGGGCTCATGGGAGAGGTAGGGCAGCCTGACCTTGGCAAAAGTAGCTCTCACCCACCAAACTTTGCTGAGCTAGCTCTTCCTAAAATCTTGGAGAGGAAAGCAAAGTCAATACCTTCGAGTTCTGTCTCTAAGAGATGCTGGTAAAGTTTATTTTCCATTTACCCTGGAACATTTGGCAACCAAAAGAGGGCCAAGACTTGGCTGTGAAGCCCAGGAACCAGGAAAGAGAAGGCCTGGCAGTAGACCCCTCACCTCTCTAGGATCACATACAAATAGTACGGAGGCCCCAGGCCAGCCTCCATAGCGCTCCCTCTCCTTCCAGGCCTCTACGGAGAGTGTTAGATCCCCTGAGGCTGCTTTGGTGGCAGAGGTGGTTCCTGAGGCAGCTCACAGGCTGGGATTTGGGCTAACATATCAGGGCTCCCAGAGATCTGCCCACATTTCCCAGGCTGGGTAGCATGAGGGCCCAGCCTCTCTTCCCACTTACTAGGCTTGTTGTTGGGTGAGATGGTAACAAGCCTGCGGATGACGCTGGGGGACTGCTGCAGGGGCGGGGTCCGACACGGCCTCTCGTCCACCTCGGGCTGGGATGTGAGCAGCTCTCCCACTAGGACCCGCTCCAGGCTTCCGTCGTCCATGCCCTTCCCCAGCCACCGGCCGCAGGGGAACCTACAGGTCGGGCAATGGCCTGTCAGAGCTGCCAGCTCCTTCCATGCCCGTCCCCCTACTTCTCAGAAAGAGCCATCAACAAAGCCATCCCTGAGGATCCCTCAAGGGCCTGCTCATCCATCCCATGTGCACAATCAGGGAGTGATGGGTGGCCTGGAACCTGTCACAGCAATGTCACACATCTTCCCTTGATAAACCCTCCTCCTATTTTTTTTTTCAGGTGCATGAGCAGAGCCAAATAGGAAGTTGCCCCAGCCTATCACAGCCTAAACAGCCTCCTTGAGAACTCCACATACCCAAGCATCAAACACAGCCCCTGGTGGTACCCTTGCCCCAGCATTTTAGAGCACAGCTGAGGGAACACTTACTTGTAGGTATGTCCTGTGATCTCATTCCTAACCATCACATACTCCACCAGCCATTTGGCATACAGCCCAGAGTTATCATGGCCTATCTGCACAGTAGTGAGCTTCCCCAGGTTCTGGCACTATGAGAGAACAGCCAAATAGAGAAGATGAGGTAGGAAAAGGAAGTAGGAAAAATTAGTGACACTCCTTGGAGGCAGACATCTGACTGGCTGCCTGCAACCTGGCAGGGACAGAGCTCATGGTTCCACTTGTCACCAAAGCCAACAGTACAATACCATCTCATGAGGGGCCGATGGCTGCTACCTACAGAGAGAACAGGGCCCGGGAGCCCGCAGCTCTGGAAATGGGATAGCAGTCTGAGGTCCAGAGGTCTCTATGAACATTTGGGCCCAGCAGCTGAAAGAACTCTTGGGGATTTCTCAGCACACCATGGACAGGGAGGTATGAAAGTTCAGATGGGTAAGTGCTTTCCAGCCAGAGACTATTTAGACAGGGCAGGCTCCCCGCTCCTTGGGTCAGCCCTTGGCTCCGATCATCTCAGGACAGGTCAGCCGTGCTGATGCATAACACTGTATAGAGCAAAGCCTCCAAAAACCTCTGCAGAAAGCTCCAGAGAAGCAACTGTTGCAAACTCAAGAGCTTAGAGTGTGGTTCCCGGACAACACGTACCTCGAAGGTCATCTCCAACACGTTCCTGGGAATCTGCAGAATCTGTGTCTCACCCAATTCTCCCGAGATGCAAATCCATGGGTTGGCAGTGAACATGGAGCCCCCCAGCTTCTTGCTCGGTACAATCAGGATGTGGTAGGGGATCACTGTTTAGAGGCATGGAGGAGGATCAGGAATCCCTCACATACCTGAAAGGGCCTGACCTGCTCCAGGCATGCTCACATGATAGCAGCCCCAGCACAGCCAGAGCTGCAAGTCACCAGGAGCTAGTCTCTGGCTGGCTCAGAATATTAGCCAACCCTCCCATCAATCTCACTCCCCCTCGGGTTACCCCAAACATCAAAGATCCAAGCCCATATGCAGGCTCAGAGCTAAGCCAACCTGTTCCTTAAATAACATCACCAACTCAACATTGTACTGAATTGCTCTTCAGAGCACTTCCATCTATCATCTCTTGCACTCTAATAACAATCTCAGGAGAGGACATGCAGGTATTCCGTTGCCTTTTCTGAGGCACTGAGAGGGAATTTGTTTCCCTTGGGTCTCCTAAATTCTAGTTCAGTGCTGCTTCGACTGAAGCCTACAGCCCTCTTCTCTGAGAGGGAAGACGGATGTCATGTAGAAACAAAAGTGCACGCTGTGACATTCAGCTGACCATCTGGGACCACAGAATTTCCATCCTAGAACCATGGCCCAATTTGTCTGCAACCTTGTGGAGAAGGCCCCTGTGCTAGTAAACGCTGCTGTGACGGACTCAAAGCCTTACTTGGCCACATTTTGGCACTGTGCCGAGGTTGAGCTGATTCCTCTAACCCTTGCTGAGAGCCTGGAAAAAAAAAATAGCCACTAGTACTCAAAATGGTAGCTTCAAACAGCTCAGTTAAGGAAGCTCTGCTGAGTAGTTTGGTGGCCACTGAGGTGTGGATGTGATTTTATGTTGCGAGATCATAGGCAAGCGTGGCATCATTGACTCTAACGTCTGAAGACCAATCTTTAACATCTGCTTCTTTTTGGTCTATTATTTGAATGTTCTTGGACCATGAGCAATCAGAATGGTATTTGAATTTAAAAAGATATGTAACAAAAGAGTCCACACCACACCACTGAGGCTGTTGAGTCACTGGCCAAACAACTAGTCATGGGACAAATTCAGAGACGACCCCCCACCCAACATCCTGGCACCAAAGAAAGATGAGGCTCCAGGGGCCTGCCTTAGACTATTCTGAACCCTCTTCCTCACTCTGCAAATAGGGAGACTGAGGCCCACAGGAGGGGCAAACTCTGCTCACAGAAACATAATGAGTTAGGGTCTGGACCCAAACCTTCATGGCTATGTGGACGAGTTGCTTGTCCCTGTGGGCAGTTCTGAAACCTTCTGTGATACTGAATAATGACTCTCTGAGCCCAAAACCAAAGGGAAATGTCTTTACAGGTATCTAGAGGGCAGTGAACTTCCCCACCACACCCAATCCGATCCATCACCTGAGGCTCCCAGGGCAGTGCCTAGAACAACAGTGACAACACGATGGCCAAAAAGACTGAGCTCCCCAGTTCCGAGCAACAATAAGCAGCTTCGGAGAAAAACAACCTCCAAGGAGGGCACTGCACCTCTCTCCCACAGAAGCAAAAGGCAAATCAAAAGTACAAGTGATCATCTTTTTTCTTAAAAAGGGGACAGTGAGTTAGCCTCAGGCAGGCTCATGAAGACAGGAACTAAGAAGGCTAGTGGGGAGCACAGGGCTACTCACGGATAGTTGTGAAGACATTGGTGAAGCAAAAGTAATCGACGGCATTGAAAGAGAGGAGGTGATAGAGGAACTGCTCCTTCTCGTCATCACAGCGCAGGAAGGCATAGCGCTTGTACAACTTTCTGTCGGAGAGGAAGCAATACATCAGTCTCCCAGCCAAGAGGAGAGGAAAGAGACTAGAATTACTCAGTTCTGGAAGGAGCCAGCTAGGGGAAGAATGAGATGTCAAGCCTTAAGTTCTTTAGAGCTACCTGAAAAAGGAACAAAGCCAGTTACTCTAACTGAGGGCTAGAGGGAAAGTGGCTTAAGCTATAGCAGGAACAACAAAAACCAAACTCTACCCTGTGTCCAAGGGTTGATGTTACTACAATGTAGTGTCAGAGGTCTTGGGATCTCCTTCCTTAAACTGAGGGCCCAAATGCAATTTTCTCTGGGAAAGACACAGGCCCTCTCAGGCATCTTGCTAGGGCTTCACCTAGGGTGTGGTGTTGGAGGAGCAACGACAGGAGATCTGCGATCAATACTCATTCCCAGGCCAAGTCTCAGATCCCAGCTGACCTGAGACCCACGAGTCAGAAAACTGCTCTGAATGTGAATGTAAGCCAGGGACCCTTCAGAGACAATAAAGGGCAATGAAGGGAATGAGCCAGGTCACAGACCAGGGAGAGCTATGCAGACCATGTCCTTCCCCTTTTCTAACTTTCTCCCATCTCCACCCCACACCCCACTGCTTACTCATCAAAGACCAACTCCTTTGTCTGACATTGCAGGCCTTCTGCAACTGCTCAGCAATGATACCTTCTCCAAGGAGAGGGGACACAGAGAGCCAAATGTACAGACCCTCAGCACAGAGGAATGCACACACACAAAAAACAAAAGAATGTAACTATCCTGGTTGCCAAGACTGCAATCATCATGGCCAAAGAGGTATGGGATTCAGTATACCTGTCAGGTTCTACCTAGTCAGGTTTATAAGGTACTTTCAATAGATACTTCACCAAACAAGGCCTACTATGTGCAGGTGCTAGAGAGGAAAGCACCTACCCTCAAATACAGTCTAGGTGAATTAATCAGGTAAAGGCCACAGTATAAGACTGCCCATAATGAGTTGCCAAATGCAAGGCTCTCCGGAAATTTAAAGAGCCATAAGCTTCAATGTTCCTAGAACAAGAGGGGCCTGAAGGACAGCACAAATTTAAACAGGCACATAGGAAGAGGATAACAGAATGTGGAAACCAGTTTGACTAGGGTTGAGGGCTCAGAAAAGTGATCAGTTAGCAATGAGCCTGAAAAGTTAGGCTAGAGTCAAATGAAGGAAGGCCCTAAATATTTAAGCCAAAGGGCCCTGCCAGCATGGCTCAGTGGTTGAGCGTCGACTTATGAACCAGAAGGTCACAGTTCAATTCCCAATTGGGGCATATACCTGGGTTTCAGGTTCAATCCCCAGTGTGGGGAGTGCAGGAGGCAGCTAATCAATGATTCTCTCTCATCATTGATGTTTCTATCTATCTCTCTCTCCCTTCCTCTCTGAAATCAATAAAAATATATTTAAATGTAAAATATATTTTTATATATTTAAGCCAATATCTGCAAATCTGCCCTACAAATAATAGGTTCCTACAACTTGCCCTAGAAGTAAAGGTCCAGAGAGGAAGAGCAAGGACTTGGTTACTGTGGGCTTGCCCTGGGCCCAGGAGAGAACAGAAGAGATAAGGGTATATATATATATTTTATAAGTTTCCTTGTAATTCTCCAATCCTTCAGGAAAGAGACAGAAAAAATGCCTGTGATATACAAGTCACCAGAGTGCATAGAGAGGAGGAGCCCCCAAACTCTGAGGTAGCCAATGAGGACCCCATCCTTCTCACTACTCTATGAGAAAGCCATTTTGGGCATGCCGATTGGGAAGGTAGGGAGAACAAATACAGCAGAATTATTCTTCTGCAGATAGAAGTGGAAATGCTTCAAAACCTTCATACACAATTTGAGTTTAGCTGAATACAGCAGTGATGACATACTGACTACCCCCGCTTCCCACACAGGGGTTTCTAATCCCCCCAGCATTCCTGAGAGCCTGTTCTACTCCAGGTGGAGTGGCCTTACTTGGTGAGCTCATGGTCTGAGAGAAGCTGCTTCAGGTGTCTGGAAAGTAACTTTTTTTCCATGGAGAGTCGCACCCATGCTCTGGCCTTTCCCACGTCAGTCTTGATTTCCCCGATGTTCTGGATATGCCTGAAGGGGAAATGGGAAAAAGTGAGGGTGGGTGGGAGATGAACTCACTACCAATACCTCCCCCGTAAAGCCAAAGGAGACCTAGAGAGACAGCTCTATCCACCCCTGGGAGAATACATCTCTCTTATTCTATAAATCCTGGGCTTCCATGTAGCTTTGCCAGATAGGCTCGCCTGGCAAAGGATGGGGGTTGGGGGTGACAGTACTGCTCTCAAAAAAAGTCAGGTTAACCCCAGAGCCCTTAGGCCTGGAGATACTCTGATATAATTCTCCAAAAATGTCAGGAAACCCACCTGCTCTATAAACACATCATAAAGCACAAGACCAATGAGAAGGGCTTCCTGGTTAACTGAGATGCTGTGGAAGCACGGGTCGCTGAGACCCTGCTCCATAACGCGGACACCTAAGCAGCAACTGGAAACAGGATTTCAGTGGCTTATTATGTCTGAGCCCACACTGACCTCATATCCTGAATGAGGGAGATTCTCAAGGGAGACATGACTGAGCTGGCATCGGACTTCCTCCGTTCTGAATCAACAAGTATTCCTAGAACAAAGAAACTGGTCATTTCTAAGATCGGACTATCCAAATAGCTAACTACCCTTCTAATCTAAAATCACATATTTCTACAGGAAACAGTTATTTTTCTTTAACACTTTGAACAATCATTTCATAATATTTATTAAGTACACACTAGGTTTCAGATTTAATACTTGTATGCATATTATCACATCTAATTATTTAATAACTTATGAGATAACCAAAGAAGGTATCATAGAGGGAACCGAAATTCAGACAGGTTAGCTGCTTTGCCCAGTCACCAAGTGGCAAAGTCAGATCCTTGGCTCCTAACCCACACGTTCTCATCATAATGCATAGAAGGTAGTGCTTCCACTTGGAGGCACTACTTTTGTCCTGCTCTTGCCTCAAAATAGGCTACAAAAGAGCCAACAGGATGTGTAAAAAAACACATGTTGCAGAAAACCAGACCTCTAGATATAATACCTTTATATCTGCATATCTGGCCCAACGTTTAAAACTTACTACCCTGATTACTCACTCGGCTGTTGAGAATTTTCGGCTATAGTTTACCCCTTAGCAATAACTTCAATAGTCTTCCTGAGAAGACTCTCATATCCAGAAAGTGAACCAAAAAACTCTTAAAAGGCTACTTAGGAAGCTCTTGTACCTCGTTTTCAGTCAATTATTCTCCCCACTTTCAGTGCTAGTTGAGGTCAACGAATTCAAGAGCAAAGACAACTCTGAGTTCATGCCTATCTTTTAACCCCCATTTAAACTGATCTTTATCATTAGGATAAGAACATCCAAGAAAGGTGAACAAACTCCTGGGCAGAGAGAGAAGAATGAAAGAGGTGTGAAGGGGAGATATTGACAAGAAGTAGAGGAAGGAGGAGGACTGTCCTGGAAGGGACACTGTAGAATGGTCTAAAGAACACAAGATTAGGAGACAAGAGAACGGCTCCTAATCTGGCCTCTTCTATCAATTCACTGGGTGATCTCTAGTAAATTCAATTCCTCTCTCAATCCCAGTTTCCTCCTCTTGTAAATAAGGGGCTGGACGAGGATGATCTCTGGGGTCCCTGACAACTCTGATATTTTCATTAAATCAGAAACAGAAAGGAAGTGTAAGGAATTATTCACACCAGGCCTTAAGGTAGGACATTGTAAACAGGCTCCCTTACTTGATAGGATAGATCATCTCAATGCCCATCTAAGAGAAATAAAACAAAAGACTCTGAAAACAGTTTGCTCCAAACACAAGACATTAGTACCACCCAAATTCATTTAAAACTTAAACTCATTCTAATGAGACATACCTTGCTGATATGTCTTCTATTTCACTGATCAAAAGAGTACATAATGAAAGCAAACTCCATGGCTATGGCATGCTCTGTGGTTCAAAGGACCCAGGGGCTTAATATGTAAAGAAGAAAACATCACAGACCAAAGGCTTCAGTGACCTGAATCACTCCTGCTGTTCTCTCCAGTGGGGGATGGAATGTGGGTGGAGGGCGTTCTCTCCAATGAAGCGGAGACCATCTTACCTGAGGTACTGAGGCTTCCGGATGTGAACTTTCTCTGTCGGTTTTCCTGATAATGTAACAGATGGGACCACAAGGCTGATTTCCCCTGGAACCAATACAAGGGGAAAATATCTATCAGTTTAGATTTCAGAGGCCAAGGCATCCAGTGGACAGAGACAGAGATAATTTAAACATATAGATTCCAGCATTTGATAAAAAGGACCTGTACAGCAGGTGCTCAAATAACATTTCATTCAATGTTATTTTGTTGTAATGTTGATGAGATGTCATAAAAACTTAACTCTTGTTTATATAAATTGGCCTATGGTAAAACTGGTTTCGTTGTACATCATTTAGCTTAAAGTCTCAGAATCTATCAACAACGTTAAGTGAGGACTTACTGTACCATTTCTTACCTCAGTGTACACCAGATGCAATGTATACACATATACGTACCCTGCTACTAAAATCCTGGAGAAACATAAAAAACAGAAAAGAGAAAAGGTCCCCACTGGGAAGGAGGAGGGCATGGTCAGAAAGAGATGTGAATGAACCAGTGGATGAGAAAAAGTCAAATAACCTCTAAATGGTTTGCTGGTTGAAGGTCAGCTTAGGTAGAGCATGAGTTTTGCATAGAGAAGCTGATATCCAGTCTACAAGATTGTACGATAGCTCCTGAATTTCCTAAAATACTGACATTCCTGCCCTTAGTGCAGGCTGGGGAGAATAAATCATCACTAAGAGGAGGATTTACTATTGAAGGTATAGTTGAAGAAGCCTGCAGGAAGGTAGGCTGTTACTCTACTGCAAAGCTGAGATATTGCAGTCAGCATAAGAGAACCTTGGCATTTGCAGTTGAAATTATGGGGTGGGGCAAAAGTAAGTTTACAGTTGTGAGTACACAAAACACAGTTTCTTATTCTATTATTATTTGTTAATTATTGTATTATTTCTCATATGAACAACTGCAAACCTACTTTTGTCCCACCCTGTGTTTGAGTCATGTAGTAATTAGTCATTTTATTTTATTTTATTTTATATATCTTTATTGGTTTCAGAGAGGAAGGCAGAGGGAGATAGAGATAAAAACATCAATGATGAGAATAATTGATTGGCTGTTTACCCCCACGCCCCCTACTGGGGATCAAGCCCGCAACCCAGGCTTGTGCCCTTAACCAGAATAGAACCTAGACCTTTTAGTCCCCAGGCCAACACTCTATCCACTGAGCTAAACCCGCTTTCATCCCTTCTTTCCCCTCCAGGGCTCCAAGTGCCGACAGCTCTGGGCCACACTATGGGCTAAGGCAGTGGTCGGCAAACTGCAAATACCACGTGCGGGCGCGCACGTACAGTGTAACTGAAACTTCGTGGCCACACTCAAGGGGCCAAAGAGCCGCATGTGGCTCACGAGCGGCAGTTTGCTGACCACTGGGCTAGGGCATAGTCCTTTTAATAAGACACAAATCTGAATAGCACTTGCAAGCCTGATGTAAGGGAGCAATTTGCCTATGGAGTGAGTGAGCCCAGCTAGCCCCCCAGCAACTGCTTTGTCTCTTCCCAGTCATCCTTCAGTACAGAGACTCTCATTATGTGATAAAACCTTTATTTCAGATTCATGGTGAATGTTCCTATACAGTTGATACAATATAAATGTAACATAATGTCTGTTTTAGTAGAATTTATTATAATAGTTTTATAAATAACTTTAGTTCTGCATTTTATGAAAGTAATAATAATGATAGAAGCTACCATGTCTTGCTTGAGGTGTGCTATGAACTATGTTAAATGTTTAAAATATAACATTTTATTTAATGCTCCCCAAAATCCTATAAGGTAGGTACCCCTATCCTCATTTTCTTTAGAAAAGAGCAAATTGGGGATCAGAAAGATTGTAAGAGATCACACAGCTAGTAAGTAGAGTGTTGAAATTCAAGCTTAAGTCCATGTAACCACTACTCTTTTTTTTTTATTAAATCTTTATTGTTCAGATTATTACATTTGTTCCTCTTTTTTCCCCCCATAACTCCCCTCCTTCCAGCTCCCACCCCACCCTCCGCCCTCACTCCCCACCCACTGTGTTCATCCATAGGTGCACGATTTTTGTCCAGTCTCTTCCCGCATCTCCCACACCCCTTTTCCCCCCAAGAATAGTCAGTCCATTCCCTTTCTATGTCCCTGATTCTATTATAATCACCAGTTCATTCTGTACATCAGGTTATTTATTCACTTGATTCTTAGATTCATTTGTTGATAGATGCATATTTGTTGTTCATAATTTGTATCTTTACCTTTTTCTTCTTCTTCCTCTTCTTAAAGGATACCTTTCAGCATTTCATATAATACTGGTTTGGTGGTGATGAACTCCTTTAGCTTTTCCTTATCTGTGAAGCTCTTTATCTGACCTTCAATTCTGAATGATAGCTTTGCTGGATAAAGTACTCTTGGTTGTAGGTTCTTGGTATTCATCACTTTGAATATTTCTTGCCACTCCCTTCTGGCCTGCAAAGTTTCTGTTGAGAAATCAGCTGACAGTCGTATGGGTATTCCCTTGTAGGTAACTGACTTTTTTTCTCTTGCTGCTTTTAAGATTCTCTCTTTGTCTTTTGCTCTTGGCATTTTAATTATGATGTGTCTTGGTGTGGTCCTCTTTGGATTCCTTTTGTTTGGGGTTCTCTGCGCTTCCTGGACCTGTAAGTCTATTTCTTTCACCAGGTGGGGGAAGTTTTCTGTCATTATTTCTTCAAATAGGTTTTCAATATCTTGCTCTCTCTCATCTTCTGGTACCCCTATAATTCTGATGTTGGTACGTTTGAAGCTGTCCCAGAGGCTCCTTACACTATCTTCGTATTTTTGGGTTCTTTTTTCATTTTGCTTTTCCGGTTGGGTGTTTCTCGCTTCTTCGCATTTCAAATCTTTGACTTGATTCTTGCGCTCCTCTGGTCTGCTGTTGGGAGTCTGTATAATATTCTTTATTTCAGTCAGTGTATGCTTACTTTCTAGATGGTCCTTTATCACACCATCGAGGGTCTCATTAGATTTCCTGTACATCTCATCAAGTTTATCGACAGACTCTAGAAGCCTCTTGAGAGACCTCAAAAGTGTGGTTCTGAACTCAATATCCTCCCTTGATAGTTTTGTCCTGTTTCTTTGTCTCCGCATTTTTTACGCTTTCTTGGTACACCCCCTAGTGGTCTTTGTGCGCAGTCTTGTTGTAGTTAAGCCTTGATTGTTGTAGTTAATACTAGAGGGATTTGACCTCCAGGCCGACTGGCTGTGATGAGTCCATGTAACCACTACTCTTAATAATGATGCTAGGCAGACTGCTTCTGAAAGGGATCATTTACCTTTGAAGTTATACCTTCTGAAGAAAAGTTTATGCTCTGGGATAAATGTGAAACTTTAAGGTCTCAAGATTTTTCCCTTGAAAATATCAATAACCTATTTTGTTTCTACCCATCACTTTGATCTATTTGGTGGGAGGGGGGAATAAAGCATCTGAATGAGAGAAAACCCTCATCAATGGATCAGCAAGCTGTTATCATATGTTTGCTGTATATTTGATTTCCTACAAGATTTAACCAGCTTAAAACAAAACCCAACTTCAATGGCGATTTAAAACACACACACACACACACACACACACACACACACACAAACATACACATTAAAACTAGAGAAGGCCATTTTTTTTATTCATTGAAATACCAAAACTTTGAAAAAACAGAGATTCAACAAAAATCAATGAGACTTACAGCTCCCATACACTGTTACTGTTATATTAATAGAATATATGTAGAATACAAAAGCTTAAAATAGCCATGCTCTTTGAGATAGTAATTCAACTTCTAGAAATCCATTCATCCATTCATTTATCAAAACCATTAGAGCAGGCTCCTAAAAGGGCGGGGACTTCGACTTACTCATCACTATAGTCCTAGCATCTAGACTGACTGGAAGGCAGCCTCCCTTATAGGGCTGTGTGGATGTGATACAAACTAAATATAGCTGGTCACCTGAGAGCCCTCACATGCCATGCTGCTAAAGAACCAAAGGCAAGAGCAACACCAGGCCACTGTGCCAGAAGGATGCCCGGGCTCACAGTGATTATACTAGTCAAGGAGGGAGGGCAAGGGCAAAAGTGAGAGAGTAGCAGCAGGGCTGAAGCTTAGTAAGAGGGCACTGGGGTCTTTCTAGTGCAAAAGACATGAATTACTCTTTTTCCTCTTTTGCAAAAGGACTGATAGAGACTGCAAGGTTCAATATAGTCTGACTACCCATTCAGGGATGTGGCCACATGACACATAGATAGTACCAGATTCTCCAAGAATGTCAATGCATAAAGGGTGAGAAACAACCCCTTTTCACTTACCAGTCCCCAAATGACAGTAATTATAAAACTATTATGAAAAATCAAACCTCACCTCTTACTGTCAGATAAATATCCTAGAGCAGGATACCCATCTCCTTGGAATATGTCATCAACAGTGAAAGAGAGTGGTGAGGATTTGCTGCAGACAGCCTTCCATGCAGACCAACACGGCTAATAACAAAATTTAGGAAGCTAGCAGTAAAAACTGCCGGTTGGTTCTCCCTACTTTATAAGTAGATAAAATAGGCAGTTGGTCAGTAACGTGCCCCAGGAAGAGGGAGATAAGATAGTTCTCTGAGTGAATTTGGTCACAATCTGTGCATGATCATGCACAGTCTGCATGATGGAGGAGACCAGGTAACCAGGTATAACCTCTGGATTGGAACATCACTGGGGACTGTCTCAGCAGAAGAAAGGTGCTCTACACACAGACCACGAAAATGGAGATCTAAGGAGCATGCTGTAGGAGCCCAACAGAGATAGTCAGGGTCACTCTCCAGTGAACATGTGTCCCTCAGGGCATAAGTGCCCTGCCACAGGCACAGGCCCTCACTTCCCTCCAGTGACACTTTAGTGACCCAAAAGCAGAACTCAGAAAACGGAACCTGAACAAAAAAGCCCCCATTTATGTTGTACTGGTTTCTCACCAAACAAGTAGCCTCTGTCCATCCAAACTGAGAGAGGGATCAAATGAATCCCAAAAGAAATCCCCATAATCTCTTGTAGAATATGTTGCCAAGCCTCAGAGGACAGATTTAGAACATGTGATGATAAGGTTATTTTTTTTAAATGCCTCAAGATTTTTATGGCAAATATTAAAAAGTTTTGAGGGCATGTTTTATCAAAAAGCTCAAAGAGCTTACTTAACCATAGTGTCAGGCTTGCTAAACTTTAAGAAAGATGATAGAATGATTATATATATTTTACTTATTTGTTTACAAAGAAAAGGAAAGAGCCCTGGTCAGTGTGCTCAGTTGCTTGAGCATCATCATACACACCAAAAGGTTGCCGGTTTGATTCCCAGTTGGGCAACATACCCAAGTTGTGGGTTTGGTCATGGGTCAGGGTGCATACGGAGGCAACTGATCAATGCTTCTCTCTCATATCAAAGTTTTTTTCTCACATCAATGTTTCTCTCTCCCTTCCTCTCTCTAAAATCAGTAAAAACATATTTTTAAAAAATAAAGGAAAGAAACAGAAATCCTTCGTGTAAAACCTAGCATAATCATAGCTGTCATATGTTACATACCCACCACGTGCCAGGTACTTATTTTTATTACATCTAATTATCATAACAACCCTGAAAGGTAGGTTTTATTAATTCTGTATTTTGGACAAGGAAAATTACTGTCAAAAACTGCAAATCACTAGAAGTCACCCAGTGGAGCTAAGATTCAAATCCGTCTTTCTGACTCCAAAGCTCATAGTGTTACTATTACACAACAGGACTCTCAAAATTGTAGGAATGTGACAAACAATCTTTAACATTTTTTAAAAATCTGTAATCGCAATGTTGTTTATAATACTGAAAAATCAAAATAACCTAAATGACCAATGATAAGGGTTTGATTCAAGTATGGCACATCTATACAATAATACATTAATTAAAAACTAGATTTTAGAAGAATAATAACCACAAACATTTACTAAGAATCTCCCAGATACCAGGCTTTGAGCTTAGTGCTTTACATGAATTATCAAATCCTCACAAGAATCCTATGGAGGTGGGTACTTTTAAAATTCCATCATACATATGAGGAAACAGAAACTTAGAAAAGCTAGGTACCTTGATCAGTTTCATAAAATTATTAAGTGGGAATCAAACCCAAGTCTATCTGATTTATAGTCTGAGCTCTTAAATACTGTAATATCATCTAAAAATTAGTTAAGGACATGGAAAAAATAATGAGGTAAAAAAAAAGCAAGTTATAAAACATTATTTACAGTATAATCCAATTGGATTTTTAGAACAGCTTTACCAAGATATAATTCATATTACCATAAAATTCATACTTATAAAGTATATAATTTCCTGCACACACAAAAATCTGATTTCTAATATATTCAAAGAGTTGTGCAACCATCAACACTACTTAATTTTAGAACATTTTCATCACCCCAAACATACCCATTAGCAGTCACTCCCCAGTCCTCCCTCCCTCCCACCTCTGGCATCTTTTAATCTTTCTGTCTATGGATTTGCCTAAATGGGTCATACAATATGTGGTCTTTTGTGACTGCTTCTTTCATTTAGTATGTTTTCACAGTTCATCGATGTTGTGCCATGTATCCATACTTTATTCTTTTTATTAAATAATATTCCATTATATGGATAGGCCACACACATTTAGTTTATGTATTCATCAGCTGATGGACATTTGGGATTTTCCACGTTGGGCCTATCTGGAATAATGCTGCTATGAACAGTGTGTACATGTTTTTATGTAGACATGTTCCCATTTCTCTTGAATACATAGCTAGAAGTGGACTTGCTGGGTCACAACACTATGGTTAACATTTTAAGGAACTGCCAGACTATTTTCCAAAGTGGCTGTACCATTTTACATTCCACCAGCAATGTATGAAGGTTCTAATTTCTCCAAATCCTCACTAACACTTTATCTTTTTTTGTTTTAGTTATCCTAGTGGGTGTGAAAAGTTATCTCATTGTGGTATTGCTGGATTTTTTTAATACACACCTGTATATGGGTATACTAGTATGTGCACAAAAAAATGTTTTGAAGGACAGATGTGGTAGACTGCCTCCAAACCATGAGAATGGAAACTCCAGAAGGGCAGAGATCTTGGTCTGTTTTTGTTGTTGTTGTTTTTGTTTTTGTTGAGATAGAAACATCAATGATGAGAGAGATTCATTGATCAGCTGCCTCCTGCACACCCGCTTCTGGGGATTGGCCTGTAACCCATGTATTGGCCCTGGAGCAGAATCGAACCCAGGACCCTTCAGTCCGCAGGCCGACACTCTTATCCACAGAGCCAAACCAGCTAGGGCATCTTGATCTGTTTTGTTTACTAAGGTTATCTCAAGTGCCTACAATAGTTCCTGGAATACTGTAGGCCCTCAATAAATATTTGCTGGATACTTATGTATAGTTTCTAATTTGTCCAAAATAAAATTGCTTCTGATAATGTTTCAAGTTCTTTTCAAATTAAAAAATGCATAAAAGTAAAAGTCCATCTTGACTTTTCAAATTAGAGTATTTTGAAATAAGAACATTCTCTGGGTATTAAGCAGTAAAAATCAAACTTACTCAACTTCTCTCAGATCTTTAGATAGTTAAGCTATCCACACGTAAAAGAAATGTTAATGACAGACCTTTATCCACTGGGAATGCACAGCTAATGAAGGACTCTTAGGGTACTAGTATGTTTGGTACTTCTGGGCTTCACGTTCCCTCCTTCTCTATGCTCCATCTCTAGGGCCAGCTGCCAAACAGGATCTATCAGTATGGCCTTAAGCTCTATTCGCAGGACAGAAGCACCACTTTTAAAATGTCTGACAAACACACAGATTTATGAAGTTTATTTTTAAACAAAATAGTTTAGATCCTATTTAATTGTTTGTTTACCTATTTCTAATCTCACTCCATGCATACTATGTACCATTCTCCAAAGCCAGCCAGCTGGAAGAGTATGGGAAAGCTAGTAAGTGAAAACAAGAAGATAGTTTGCACAGCAGAAAGGGCTCTACATTCATTACCTGTTTTACTTGGAGTCCATGGCTCCAGATCCTTTCCAAGAGGTCACAAAGGCTGGCAATCAAGGTGTTCTCTTCCACCCCTGTGATGTTGACCTCTCCGTGGCCTAGCTCCACAGCCTCTCGGCCCATCTTCTCCACCAGCATTCTCTTGGTCTACAAGGAATCAGTCAGTAGGATTAGACAACCACAGTGAACAAGGTCACATGCAACTGGAGAGGGTTGTGGACACCTGCACATCTGTTGGGCTGGGAGGGACAAGATAAGTGAAACCCAGATACATAGAGTATATTTCTTCTCCACCATACAGATATAGGTCAGGTCATGATGAAACGCATTCTTTAAAAGTTTAGTTAAGAAGATAAGAACATAGCAATTACTGTATGACCCTGAACAAGTGATTTCATCACTCTGGATTCAGTTTTTACATTTATGAGATAAAAAGAGTTGAATAAAACCCTCTGGTCATGCTCACTTCATACATTCTGATTCTCACTGCTTAACTGATCTCATTAAACAAAACTTCAAGTGCACAAATACTGCACTTATATGGGGTATCTAAAATAGTCAGACTCACAGAAGCAGGAAATAGAATAGTGGTTACCAGGGGTTGGGGGGAGGAGAATTGTTGCTGGATAGATATGAAGTTTCAGTATGCAGATGAGTAAGTTCTAGAGATCTGTTATACAACATAGTACCTATAATTAACAACAGTATTATGCATTTTAAAATATGTTAAGAGAATAGATATCATATTGTGTTCTTATCACAAAAAAACCAACAAATGAAAACCACAAAAGAACATAAAATTTTGGGAAGAAACCGATATATTTAGCACCTTGATCATAGTAATAGTATCACGGGTGCTTGTGTATATCCAAAGATGTATACATTAAATGTGTGCAATTTTTTGTATATCAGTTCTCAATAAAGTTTTTTTTTAAATGACTGTCTTTGTAGAATTGAGAAAAACACCCCACAACAGCTTAAACTGAATAACTCTCTTTAGCCTGGCACATAGTAGGCATTCATAAATTCTTGTGTCTAGACATATAAAATCATTGCTATCAAATTAAAATAGAGGCAACATTTTCATGTGTGTGAGACTAATCTGCTGAAGACAATTCAACTACAATGATTTCAAAAAATGTTTGATGTCTAAAATTAAAACTGTATCTCTCAGTTTTAAAGAATACATATTTTATCAACAAACTGTGCTTGATCTTGATTAATGGTTTATTTTATGTAAAACAAATATGCCGCCCAGCCAGTGTGGCTCAGTGATTATCAACCTATGAACCAGGAGGATAGGGTTCGATTCCTGGTCAGGGCACATGCCTGGGTTGTGGGCTCCATCCCCAGTGTGGGGCGTGCAGGAGGCAGCCGATCAATGATTTTCTTTCATCGTTGATGTTTTTCTCTCTCTCCCTCTTGATTCCTCTCTAAAATCAACAACAAAAAAATTTTTTTTAAGATGAGAAAAAATGAAAAAACAATATGCCTAATTCCAAGTTAACAGGATCTTAAAATTCATACTATCCCATTATATTAACAATATTTTTAAAACCAAGAAAGAACAGTCAGAGCCAAGCCTTGGTCTCACCTTGGCTGCCAAGGGAAATAGCACACACACAGAGGCGTCCACAGCTCACCTTGTTGCGGCATTCCTTCAGCAGGCCCTCTACAAACTTCCAGTTGGTTTGGGCAATCACTGACGGGGAGAGGTTGGACAGTTTGGGCTGGCGGATGGTGCTGCCCATATTCCTGGCTTCTTGGATGTACTTCTACAGCAAACAGAAAAATCAAAGACTCTATCCATGCACACAAAAGACAGGCGACCAGTACTGGTGAGTGCCTGAAGAGGGCACTACTACCCAGCGCTTTCTTACTGCTTCTTTCCAAGGCTCAGATAAAGTTGGGGCAGAAAGTTTAAAGTGTAACTCTGTAGCCCTGGCTGGGTAGTTCAGTTGGTTACAGCATTGTCCCTATACCCCAAGGTTGCAGGTTCAATACCCGGTCAGGGCATATATACAAGAATCAACCAATGCATGCATAAATAAGTGGAACAACAAATAGGTGTTTCTCTCTCTCTTTAAAAGCAATCAAAGATTTTTTTCCAAATGCAATTCTATATAAAAGGGAAAACCTGAGAAAATATGAATTCTGTTTTCTCTGATGTAAAGCACTTCGTAACTGCTGTAATTACCTTTTCTTTAAAGATACAAAAAAACAGCTGCAGCTTGTATAGATCAGTTTGTCAACCCAAATCTCAGAGTATTACTGAAAAAAATCATTTTACCTACTAAGCTGAGAGGAATTTAACTCTTCTGCCCATATCAAAGATAACTACTGCTGTCATCATAAAGTATAACAACCTTGCACAAAACAACAACTGTATTTTCTGCAAAGTGCTGGTGATTCTCCACACGCTGTTTGTTTTAACACAGAATGCATATAAATGCAGAGAACTGCACACTGACATCCTCTCAGTATTCCAGGTCACAACAAACACTTTTACCCCAGGCTTCCTTCTTCCCCCATATTTATCCCAGGAGAATATTTCTGTCTGGCCCCTCACTCTGTCCTTACTACCAATCCCCAAGGTTAGGCTTCAATTACTACCTGGACTACTGCTACCTGCCTCCTAACTTGCTAGCTATGTAGTTACTTCTAATACCTCCTTCCTCCAAACATTCTGCCAGTCTTCATTACACAACAATCACCAAGCTTTTGGTCCTGTATTTCCTCTACTTAAAATATTTTTCTTTGTCTCTATAACAATCCTATCATCCTCCAAGGCTTCAAACAGATTTTGACTCCACCAAAAGTTTTGTTTGATGACTACCCCAGGTAGAACTGACGTCTGCTCTCTCTAATCGGTGATCACACACGGGCTTGCCTCTTATATGACCCTTTACCAAGACTCTTCTACTGAAGTTATTTGTGTACCTGACTTTGCTCCCTTAATAAACTGGTAGTCCCTGAGCACAAGGCTAACTTCTTGTCATCTTTATATTTCAAAGTGCTTACGACAGTGATTTTGACCAAGAAAATGTGCTCAATAAATACTGCTGAAAGAAGTAATCTGAAGGTGAGGTGGAAAACTCAGGGGAGACTTTAAAAATAACACCAATACCCAACACCCCTTACAGCACACTCGCAAAAACTCTAAGCACAACTGTATCCTATAAAGCAGCAGTTAAAAATTTATAACCATACCTTGTGATTTTAATATATTCCTTTAAAATATAGCAAAGGCAAAATATGTAATTTTTTCATTCACTGAGGTGCCAACCACATATGAAAACAATACGCTTTATTGGGTTTTATATGTATATAACACAATTTGCAAGGTATTTTCTCAAAGAGAAGTTCCTGAAACAGGTTTCTGAAGGTTAAATTCCCATTTTCACAACTTCTCTGCAACTGAGTCAGGCAGGCAGGGTTGCCAACTTGAGTTTTATAACTAAAAGCTTTACTGGGAACAAGTTATAGTAGAGCTGAAAACTCAGCCTATAAGCAATGAGGACTCAGGAGGTCAATTCAAGAAGCCTCAACACCCCAGGCACCTGAAGATAACATTCCTCTCCTTTGCTCCTCAAAGGAAAAAAAGTCAAGATTATCTGTTTTAAATTACGATACATAAAAAATAGGGGGAAAGTACTCCCTCCTCCCAGGTTCAGATATTGACAGCATTAACCCAAGTTCAGCTTTTCTTCCTTCTAATTCTAACAGAATTAATTCTTCACTACCATACCACACACAAAAGAAGCCTCACAAATTTTAAAAGGATTTCTCCCAAGTCTCAGGCTCTCATCTCCTGAGGTTCTGTCACACTCCCCCAGGAGTATGATGTATGAGGAGTACTGAAAGGACACTCTTCTAAGACTGCCATCATTCCTGAGTCGGCTGCAAACAGGGCCTGGCTCAGAGAGAGGACCTACATGGTTAGTGGCTAGCTGCCATGTGTAAAAACATCATACATCCTGGATTTGTCCTAACCTAGGCCCAGTATCAGGTATTAGGAACTACTCTATTATTAACCCTTCTTTATGGGGAGAGGTCTCTAAATGTGGAGTAGAGGCGACCCCAACAGTCTGCACAGACAATCTCTGCTTAGACCCCATCCCTGTAAGTAACTTCCCTACAACAAATCCCACTATAATCTATAGTAGGGGTGGGGAACCTTTTATCTGCCAAGGGCCATTTGGATATTTATAACATCATTCTCAGGCCATCCAAAATTATCCACTTAAAACTTAGCTGCTATATTTGGTCAAACATGTAATTAACTCACCCCTAATGCCTTGACAGGGCCAGACCAAATGATCTCATTGGTCTTATACAGCCCAAAGGCTGGATGTTCTATAGGGGTGGCTGCTTTGTTTTTTGGCCTCAAATAACCTTCTTGGTTCGGTGGTCATTGTACTGTTAGGACACTTGAATCAGACCAGAGGTCAAAAAAATAGGAAAGAGAAAGAGAATGTAGCATGATAATAGGCCCATTCCTTGTCAATCATAAGGTGGCCTACCTCTCTCTGGTCATTGTCTAAACGCAGGTGTTCTGTGTGCTGCTTCTGCCGATCTTTCCGCCTCCACTGGGCAGGGGCATTCCTTTTTGTCCATCTAAAAGAAACAAAACAGGCAATTAACAATATCCCAGTAAAAAGTAAGGTCAGCCCTGGCCGGTTGCTCAGTGGTTAGAGTGCTGGCCCACATACTCCCCATGTCAAACTTAAAGGCTAACACGGGCCATAAAACAAGGTTTAAAGTTTATGTGGCCCCATAAAACAAGCATGTCAAACTCAAAGGCTAACACGGACCAAATAAACAAGGTTTAAAGTTTATGTGGCCACAAAAAAAAAAAAAAAGCAGCAGTTAATGTTAACATAGGTTTATTTTGATAGAGACATACTGAATACAAAGGGCTGAAATAAATAATTATCATAAAATAGAACATTTTAATAAAAATTAATATTTTTTCTTGAACATTAACTTACCAGACATTGAATAACTGCACAAATTAATAAGCGTAATGCAAATAAACCTATTTTTCTTGTTCTCTGAAAGCAAAATATCTCCTGTTGCGCACACCAAACAAGTCAGTACAAGACTAATGACATGGCAATCGGCTGCTAAAATATTCGCTGCTGCCTTAGCCGGTTTGGCTCAGTGGATAGAGCGTCAGCCTGCGGAAGGAAGGGTCCCAGGTTCGATTCCGGTCAAGGGCATGTACCTTGGTTGCGGCACATCCCCAGTGGGGGGTATGCAGGAGGCAGCTGATCGATGTTTCTCTCTCATGGATGTTTCTAACTCTCTATCCCTCTCCCTTCCTCTCTATAAAATATCAATAAAATATATTTTTATAAAAATAATAAAATAAAATAAAATATTCACTGCTAATATTAATGGAGAGAAATGGTGTACCTGTGTGTAAGGCATGTAAGGGAAATGAATGCAACACAATTATAGTAATCAGTCATTAGCAAACGTTGTAGTTCATTTATATATATAAAAGGCTAAGTGGCCGACCATACATCTGTCTGACCGGCCGGTGCATATGACATGCACTGGCAATTTAAAAATAAACATTGACTCGTGCATGCGTGATACATATAAAGCTCTCGCTGGTGCCAATCGCACACATGTTTCAATCTGTCATTGTTGATCCTGAATTTGGTTGTTTAATTCGAAGACAGTTTCCCGTGATGCCAGCATCTGCAATGACTATTAATAAATCACAAGGACAAACTCTAGACAGTGTAGGAATATTCCTACCTAAACCCGTTTTTGGACACGGTCAGTTATATGCTGCTTTCTCTTGAGTTCGAAGAGCATGTGACATTAAAGTTAAAGTTGTAAATACTTCATCACAAGGGAAATTAGTCAAGCACTCTGAAAGTGTTTTTACTCCTAATGTGGTATACAGGGAGATATCAGAATAAGTTTAATCAATTTATCAGTCATTGCTTTTATCAGTGTTTTTGTATCATGTTTTTCTTGTTTTTATATCGTGTCTTTGTTGTTATAGCATGTTGTTATTGTTTATTTGTTAATCAATTTATATATTATTTTCATATACATTTTACTAATTTTCTTTCATCTCTGACACTTCTATTACAGAGATATTAAAATATTTCTTCTAATTAATTTCCTTTCAATGTGCATGAATCTGTGCACCGGGCCACTAGTTATTAATAATTATGTATAACAGGATATTGTAAAAATTAAGTTACATACCGTTATATTGGCTGGGCTGCGAGTTTGATATGCTTGCACTAAAGGGTTGTGGGTTAAATTACCAGTTGGGGCGTGTGTGGGAGGCAATCAATCAATGTGTCTCTCTTACACCTCCCTCTCTTCCACTCTCTCTAAAGATCAATGGAAAAAATAGCCTCTGGTGAGGATTAACAACAACAAAAATTCTTTTTTAAAAAAAAGTAAGGTCAACTGACAGAAGAAAACTGGAATGTCTAGGGACCAGTGCTGGGCACAGAAAACCACCAAAGAGTCACCAGAGATAGCTCAGAGACCTTGGGGAAGAGCAGCTTAAAGATCAATGAGTGGGCAAGAAAAATAACTCCCCAGGGAACACAGACATATCTCTCTTCAAACATCTACATCAAGTTCACATGCAGATCCAAAAATATACTCAGCTCTGTCTGAGCTTTGTTATATCCATCTCCAAACGTAACTAAAGACCAGTAATCCTGCTAAGTTACCTACTTCCAGTTCAGACTCCATTTCAACTACCACTTACTGGAGATAAAATGCCAGTTACATGTTGTATGGGATTTAGTCATGAGATCATTTCAACCCATCTGCAGCCTGGCTTTTTGCAGGTCCTAGGCATGTGGAGCTATCCCAATTGCCACAGTGGAGACAGGAGCTGATGATGCTCTGTCACCCATTTTCTTGTTCAAAAAGTGAAAAACCTGGAGAGTTTTGGTCTTCTCCGTATTTGCTTTATAAAATTCAGGGGTCTTCTACCAGCTCAGGCCCAGATACTGGATGATTAGGGAGCTGAATCAGGGAATCCCGGGGTTGACTCACTTGTTGCTGGCAGGCCCAATGGAAAGCACATCAGACTGCAACTTTGGGAAGAAACCTGGTTCATACTTCCCTTGTCCAATCTTCATGTCAAGTAAATGGGGGTGAACCGCAGTATGGTCTATTTTTGCCAGACGCAGCTCAATTGCTTTCTCTGGATAAGAAAAAAAAAATTCAAACTTTTAAAAAATATATCATATTCTGGGCCATATAACACTCAATAAATTTAAGACAATTTGAATAATACAAAATATGTCCTCTGACTACAATAATCATTAAGAACATCTTAAAACTGAATAACACACTTCCAAATAACCCAGCCATCAAAAAAATCAAAAGGGAAATAAGACCTGAATAAAAATAAGAACACAAAATATAAGGATTTGTAGTATGTCATTATTACTTGAAAGAAAATTTATGGCACTAAATGCCTATCTTAGAAAAAGAAGAAAGGTCTCAAATTAATGACCGTGGCTTCCACCTTAAAAAACTAGAAAAAAGACTAGCAAATTAAATTCAAAGTACAAGAAAGGAAATAATAAAGGCCAGAGTGAAATCAATGAAATAAACAGACAAATTAATAAATCCAAAAACTGTTCTTTCAGAAGATCAGTAAAACTAATAAACTGCAAATCAGACTGATAAAAATAGAAAGGAAAAAAACACAAATTACCAAAATCAGTAATGAGAGAAGTGACAGACTCTACAGATATTAATACAGGACATACTACAAAAAAAACTTAATGCTAACAAATTTGACAATAGGTGAAAGGGACAAATTCCTTGAAGGATGCAAACAGCCAAAGCTCACTCAAGAAGGAATAGCTCATCCGAATAGCCCTATTTTTTAAACTGAATCTATAGTTTAAAATCTTCTCACATAAAAAAACAGCAACAACAAAAAAACCTTCCAAGCCCAGAGGGCTTCACTGATGAATTCTGCCAAACATCTAAAGAAAAAGTAGTAACAAGCTCTTCTGGGAAACTGAAGAGGAGAGAATACTTCCTAACTTTTCTTTCAGGCCAACATTATAGTGACACCAAATCAGACAAGATATTACAAACAAACTATGAGCTGATATCCTTCATGAGCATAGATGCAAAAATTCTAAACAAAATTGTAGTAAACTGAATTCAATAATATACAAAAAACCATACATCATAATCACATAAAGATTTTATCTCAAGAATGCAAGATTAGTTTAATAGTACACCTTTAAAAATCAATAAATTGCCATATTAACAAACTAAGACTAAAACCCACACAATTATCCCAATAAAAGCCTTAACCAAGAGGGCTGTCATCTTAATGAAAGAACTGAATTGAGAGCTGAAAGGTAAAGATAGAAGGCTAGAGAATGTACTCAATGAAGGCAAATGAAGGCAGGACTTTGTCCAAACTGTCACCAGTTGTATCTTCAAAACTTAGAAAAATGCACCCTAGCCTGTGTGGCTCAGTTGGTTGGAGAGTCGTCTCAAAGCAACCGATCTCTCTCTTTCTCTTTCTCTCTCTCTCCCCTCTCTCTCTCTCTCTTTCTCTCTCAGAATCAATGAACATATCCTCAGGTGAAGATTAAAAATAAATTTAAAAAGCTATATGTTTAAAACCTAGAAAAATGCTTGACATGTTTATTCATTCAGTACATATATTTGTGAGCACTTACCATATGTTAAGCATGTAGTAGGTATCTATCTACACTAATAGAAGAGAAACATGCAAATTGGTGTCACTCCGCTATGCCCACCAGCCAATCAGATGAGTATGCAAATTAACCCAACAGAGACGGCGGTTAATTTGCATACACAGGTGCAGAGCGAAGACTGAAGGCTCTGGCCTGAGTGAAGACTGAAGACTGAAGAGGCAGGACACTTATGTAATACCCTTTGTAATACTTTTAGCGAAAAATAAAAAAAATAAAAATAAAAAAATAAAAAAAAAAAAAAAAAAAAAAAGACTGAAGAGGCTTGCTTTCTCCGCTGTGGCTGCAGTGGAGAAGCCAAGCGGCCACGGAGCTGGAGGCTTGGGTTGCCCCCAGCAATGGAGGAAGCCAAGCTTCCAGCCCGCCCTGGCCACCACTCAAGGGAGAGAACAACAGCAGGCGCAGCCAGGAGCCTGAGAGATCAACACAGGGGCACCTGCTCCAAGCCTCCACACACGGGGCAACTGCTCCGAGCCTACATGGTGCGGCTGGGAGCAGGCCCCCAGTGGACACACACACACATGCGCACACACACACACAGGGTGCCTGCTCCGAGCCTCTGTGGCGTGGCTGGGGGCAGCCACCAGTGGACGGACGGACACACACACACACACACACACACACACACACACACGGGGCGACTGCTTTAGAGCCTCCGATGCGGCTGGGGGCAGGCCCCCAGCGGAACACACACACACACACACACACATGAGGCGACTGCTCTGAGTCTCCGACGTGGGTGGGGGCAGGCCCCCAGCGGACACACACACTCACACACACATGGGGCGCCTGCTCCAAGCCTCTGTGGCACGGCTGGGGCAGCCACCAGCGGACTCACACACACACACACACACACACACACACACACACACACACGGGGCGCCTGCTCCAAGCCTCTGCTGCCAGACTGGCATGGGCCCTCTCCAGGAACGGGCCTAAGCCATCAGTAGGACATCCACTGAGGGCTCCCAGACTGTGAGAGGGGGCAGGCTGGGCTGAGGGACCCCCACCCCCCCTGCATGAATTTCATGCACCAGGCCTCTAGTTTATAATATTTAGTAAATGAATGAACAATATATACAAAATAGCCACAAGAACACTGAACATCCTATAAGAAAGGGAACAAACTACTTAATCTGCACCTCAAACTGAGACTATTCTCTAGCTATACTCATCTAGATGGGGCTTCGATGAACAAAAAGGCCTTTTCAATCATGCATGTAGCAAACCACTTTTTTAAAAATATATTTTTACTGATTTCAGAGAGAGGGGGAGAAGGAGAGAGAGAAACATCAATGATGAGAAAGAATAATTGATCAGCTGCCTCCTACATGCCCCCTACTGGGGATCGAGCCCACAACCTGGCATGTGCCCTTGACTGAAATTGAACCCAGGACCCTTCAGTCAGCAGGCTGATGCTCTATCCACTGAGCCAAACCAGCGAGGGTTAGCAAACCACTTTTAACATCTATCTGTCATAAATACAATGCTAGAAGTTGGGGCAAGAAAATAAGTAAATACAGTCTCTGTTCTTAAGTTGTTCCCTATTAATGACAGCTCAAAAGAACAGAGATTACAGAGGGGAGGTAAGAACAAAGCACCACAGGATAGAGGAGGAATCCACCAACTCAGCCTGAGGGCATCAGAGAAGGCTTCACAGAGATGACGTAGAAAATCAATAAAATATATTAAACACTATCAACTGCTTACTCATACATCTATCTGTCATAAATACAATGCTAGAAGTTGGGGAAAAGAAAATAAGAAACTACGGTCTCTGTTCTTAAGTTCGTTCCCTATTTATGACAGCTCAGAAGAACGGAGATTAC